CATGTAGCAGACAGCATGAGTGAGCTTTTTTGTGTTTCATGCATGAATTCCAAGGAACCAGGGACCCTTTCTGTGCCCTCAGTTCAATGAAATTACTTCCTCTAAAGGATGATCTCTAATATATTTCCTATGAGGATGTCAGACCTTTAGCATATGAAATATTATAGGGTGATACACTGAGCTCATCCCAGCAGGTTATCTGGCTCACAAAGCTTCCATCAGGACAGCTCACCTCTCTCGCTTAATGTATTGTCAGAGAGAGTAGCAACAGTTCAAATAAAGACCTTAATGGAGAGAGCTGGAGATGCTCCCTGAGGGTCCTATCTGGGTAGTTGGTCAGAGTGGCTAAGGCAAATCCATCTAGCCTGTTCTCAGGTGAGGAACAGGAGATACAGGAGGACTACCCAAGGTGCTACCTAGGTCCTGCCAACTGTGGTACAGCACACAGACCTGGATGCTGTTGTTGCTTCTTTTTTTTTTTTTTTTTTTTTTTTTTTTTTAAATTTATTTATTATGTATACAGTGTTCTGCCTGCATGTATGTCTGCAGGTCAGAAGAGGGCACCAGATCTCATTATAGATGGTTGTGAGCCACCATGTGGTTGCTGGGAATTGAACTCAGGACCTCTGGAAGAGCAGTCAGTGCTCTTAACCTCTGAGCCATCTCTGCAGCCCGCTGTTGTTGCTTCTACCCTAACCCCCATGGAACTTTTGGGTAATTGCACATTACAAAGATCCTTCCTTGCTCTGCAGCCTCTATCCTCCATGCATGTCAGGATAACACAAGTCCCTGCCCTTGCACCATGCCTGGTTTCTTTGTTTTTTGTTTGTGTGTGTATGTGTGTGTGTGTGTGTGTTTGTGTGTTTGTGTTTGCTTGAATGTACATCTGCATACCATGTGAGAGTCTAGTGCCTACAGAAGTCAGGAAAGGGATTTGGAGTTACAGATGAGGTTGTGGGTCACCATGTGGTTGCTGGGACTTAACCCTGGGTCCTTTGGAAGAGTATCCAGTGCTTTTAACCCTGCCCTCTCCTTCAGTCTTGGAGTTGTGGAGTTTTTCTTCTTGAATTGTAGGAGCTCCTCGCCTTACCTAATGTAGATATTAACCTCTTACCAGACATGTGATTGCCTCCGTTGGGCATTGTGTTGTTTTTTTTTTTAATCTGTTGGTAATATTCTTTTTTGGTTGTTGGCCTGGAACTTTTTATGTAGACCAACCAGATTGGCCACAAATTCACAGAGAAACATCTGCCTCTGTCTTAGTGTACAAAATTTTTAAATTTTGGTGGAGTCTGATTATCTCTTTTCTTCATTTTTTGTTGTCTATAATGTCATGTTTAAGAAACCATTGCCGCCAGGCGGCAGCGGCGGCGGTGCAAGCACGCCTTTAATCCCAGCACTCGGGAGGCAGAGCCAGGCAGATCTCTGAGTTCGAGGCCAGCCTGGTCTACAGAGAGAGATCCAGGACAGGCACCAAAACTACACAGAAAAACCCTGTCTCAAAAAACCAAAGGAAAAGCCGGGCGGTGGTGGCGCACGCCTTTAATCCCAGCACTCGGGAGGCAGAGCCAGGCGGATTTCTGTGAGTTCGAGGCCAGCCTGGGCTACCAAGTGAGTTCCAGGAAAGGCGCAAAGCTACACAGAGAAACCCTGTCTCGAAAAACCAAAAAAAAAAAAAAAAAAACCAAAGGAAAAAAAAAAAGAAAGAAAGAAAAAAGGAAAGAGAGAAAGAAACCATTGCCAAGTAGAATATATGGTAGCACACACCTGTAATCCCAGCACTTTGGAAGCTAAGCTAGAAGGATTGCAAGTTCAAGATCAGCCTGGGCAACACAGTGAGATCCTATCTTAAAATTTAAAAATGAAATGAAAGCTGGGGATGTAGCTCAGTGGTAGTGTCTACCTCGTATCTTCAGTCCTGGTCTTAATCCCTGGTGTCATAAAAAATGAGAAGGTTAAAGTAGTTATCGTTATGCAGTTGAGGGAGTCCTTTTGTTTGTTGAGACATGGTCTCACTCTGTAGCCCAGGCTAGCCTTGAATGTTCTTACAATTCTCCTGCCTCAGCCTCCCAGGCATTGAGATTACAGTGTGGCCCATCAGGCTGGGCTTAGGCTTTTTTGTTCTGTTTGAGATAGGCTTCACTATTTGACTGGGCCGGCCTATAGCTCTCATTACCTCTGCCTCAGGTTCTAGAACTTTGCAGCCCTGCTCATCAGGACTGCTGGTCTATAAGTTCCAATGCTGCCTGCATCTGGCTTTGATGTCAGTGTGGTGGTGATTGTATGGAGGCTGCTAGGAAATGTTCCTTTCTCTTCCCTTCCCCTTCAATATGTTGAGGGTTTAAGGAGGATCAAGACTAATTCTTGAAATGTTTTCAGATTTATTACTTTTTTTTCCCGTATGTGTGAGCCAGGGCCTTGTGCTTGCTAGGCAAGCGCTCTACCACTGAGCTAAATCCCCTACCCATCCTGCATATATTTATGTGCACTACATGCATGCCTGGTGCCTACGAAGGCTAGAAGAGGACATGAGGCTGGGAGTGGCGGCACATACCTTTAATTCCAGCAGAGGCAGAAAGAAGTATGCAGCTAGCCTAGTCTACATAGCAAGTTCCAAGCCAGCTGGAGTTATGTAGAGACCCTGTCTCAAAACAAAAGAGAATATATTGATTCCCCCAGAGCTGGAGGTAGAGGTGGTTGTGAGCCACCCAGTGTTGGTGCTGGGGAGTGAACCTAGGTCTTCTGTAAGAGCAGTAAGTGCTCTTAATTGCTTTAGAGCCCATATTTACTCATTTTTGAGCTGGGGTCTTGCTACATTGCTCAGCCTGGCCTTGAACTTCACAGTCAAGCAACCCTGCCTCAGCTTTCTGAGTAGCTGGGACTATAGTTGCCTCACAACACCTAATTAAACTTAAAACATTTTAATAGTTTTGAATTTACAGAAAAGTTGTAAGATAGAGCAGAAGCACCCATGCCCTTGTCACTACTAGATTGTGAGTGCTGGCTCTGTTTCACAGCATTGTTTACCCTTACCTTGGCTTGGTTGTAGCCCAGGGTCAAGCCCAGGATACCCATAGCATGAGCCCTAATGTCTATTCCACTGTGCTTCACCTGACCTCAGTTACTAGGCTGGCTGGTGGATGAGCCCAAGTGGCTCTACCTCTCCTCTGCTGGCCACTTAGAGAGGGCTGCAACCCTGTCCATCCAACCAGGGCTCCAGTGCAGCTCCTACTTTGCTTTTATTTTAGCCTTGGGTGAGCTCAAGCTGGGAAAGAGTATCCATGGCTTCCAAATACCTCTCAAAGTTGGTGGTCTGACTCTAAGGCCAAGTCTTCCTCCCCAGTGAATCATAACAGGACAGTGGACCATAGGTACATCTGTTCCAGGTGGTCCCGCTTATCCAGAGGGGACTGAGTACCATTATATTATGGTCATCTCCTCACAGGTGACAGTGTCTTGGCAGAATTCTTATATATGACTCTGCACTCCTATTCCTTTAGAATATATCCTAGTGCTTAAGGAGGAAAATTCTCTGCCTTGAGTGTTCTCTTCATTGCATTCAGGCATCCTAGCTCCTGGTTCCCTCCTGTGCAGTGTCCATGAGATAGCGTCTAAAGGATACAACTTGACCAGTTCAAACTCCTACTGGCTGGTCCTGGAATGCCATTCTCAGAAAGGATAAGGAAGTGGGAGGGGGGATTCTCACCCAGTGTGAATAGACATGAAGAGGAGCAGCCTAGTCAGAAAGTACCACTGAGCTCTAATTAGAGAAACCTTACACTAACATCATATGCCCTGAGGGTAGGGGCCTGGTAGCAGCAGGAGGCCTGTTCTGGAGGCCTCTAAAGTATACAGCTATGAAGTATACAGCTAGCCTGAGTAGTTGCTGTGTGTCCTGGTATCTCCCTGAGCTGGGAAATGGAGCCAGAATCACTTAGGGGCTCATGAAGGTTCTACATTTGTGTCCTCAGAGGGAGTTACCTGTATGTGTATGGAGGAGGAACAGCTCTGTTCAGGCTTTCTAGTTTAGAACATCATTGACAAACTCAACAGAAGTAGCACTGGGGCTGAGTTCACTAATAAGCTCAGGTATGCCCACTGTGCCAGTGCCTAAGCCCTCTGCGTCCAGATTGAAGGCCTTGGGCTTCCCTGTGCAAGCAGCCAGCCTCTCCTTCTGTGCCCTCTTTCCTACCAGGCCATGGCATATGCCTCTGAGGATGGGGTCCTCACAGAGGCCATGATGGATGCCCGTGTCCAGGATGCTGTTCAGCAGCACCAGCAGAAGATGCAGTGGCTTAAAGTAGAGAGACCCAATCTTGAGGCGAGCAAGCCACCGTGTCCTTGACTCCTCAACTGCTGACCTGCACCTGGACACCTTGTATACCTGACCGGGGACAGACAGTCTCTGTGACCACACTATTCCTCCCTATTTTCCTGTCTTCTTTGGCCTCTGTAAGAGGCCAACACTGTCCGGAACGCCTTTGCCCAGCTGTGGGATGCTGGTGGTATCAGCTTCTCTGGCTCCCGCACCTCCTAGTCTGTTTCTCTCTGTGTGAGTGCTGGCAGAGGAAGGCACACTGCCTTCCTGCGCCCAAGTACACTGGTGAGACTCGTCTACAAGCGCAGATCAGAGAAGAGAGGAAGCAGAGTGCTGTATCACAGGCCAGTAGCTATGGCCGTGCCAGCAGGACTGGGACCTGCAGGGACCAGACTAAAGGCAGGAAGGGCCTCTCCTTCCTGAACATTGTACCTGCCCTGTATACATCTGTGCCAAGAATTGGCCCAGTCCTTACTTGATAAGAGTAGATCTGGTGCTAGATAGCCCCTGGCCAGTGGCATCCAGGATTCAGAGCTGCCACCTTCCCCTTGACTGGACCTTTTAAATCCAGAATCTAATAAAACTGTGACTGATTTGCTGTTTTTGTCTCTTGGCTGAGGTGAGGGTCTAGATGGAGCCCTCAATAGCCCCTGGGATCAGAGATGATGGAAGAAGCAGAGGCTGGAGCTTTCTGGAGAATTTACTGGCCAGGCAGGGTGGGCTTCACAGTGAGGGCTGGGACACCTGGGGCCATCACATCTTTATTGCTGCTGGGGGCCCGCCCTTCCAGTCCCACCCTCCAGTCCTCCAGTCGCACACGCCCCATGCACATGCTCCCGTGTGCAGATGGGCGCAGGCCCTGACACATCCCTCCCCTCCAGACGGACGGATGGACAACAGGTGCACAGGAAACAGTGGCTTTCAATGAGATGTGGCCTTAGGCTAGCATGACCCAGGCCATGTCTGTCTCCATTGTGAACCCACCACCCTTGGCCCCAGCACCTCTAAAAGCCTGCCTTTGTGTCCTGCTCACTGTGGAAACCAGGTTGCTGTCCCTGAAGCCCAATGGCCATCCCAACCCCAGCCCCCACCCGACCCCCTTTATAAAAAGAAGAGACAGCACCTTCCACTGGATTTGCCTGCTGGCCACAACCCAACTGGCCACAGCCCAGCATACCCTGGGCCTGAGGCCGCAGTCCCGTCTTGCCAGCTGAGCGTCCACGAGGTCCCTTTACATGTGCACAGCAGCCCCGAGTCCTGTGCACTCACAGGTGCCGTGGGCTGGGGTGGCCGTTGTGGTAGAGCTTCTGCTTCACGTGCACCATGTTCCCTGTGGGCTCCTCGAAGGGCCTGTGCGGCCGCCGGCCCAGCTCCCGCAGGCTGCACAGCTTGGGCAGCCAGGTCCACGAGCCATCTGCAGGGGGACAGGGCAGTCAGGTGGCCGGGCTGGGCCAGAAGTGGTGCCCGCAGCAGCGCGTGGCACTCACCATAGCGCCGACCAGCCCTCCAGGCGCGCACAGCACAGTGCAGGACACCATCCATCCACACCAGGAACCAGCTGATGCAGAAGCCCAGAAGCAGCCCCAGCATAAGGTCGATCTCCTGCTTGGTCACATTGTCTGTCACAAAGTAGTTCTCAGATGCGTCCACCACCGACTGGTCCCCGTCGTATGGGATCACGTAGTGGATGTGGTGCCTGGGGGCGGCAGGGTGGGCTGGCACCTCTCCTGCCAACCCTGGCCCAGCCTTCCCCAGGTCCGTGCTGGGCTGGTTAGGGGACCCAAAGTGCATGGCTTGACTCCTATGGGCCACCCTGGGAAGTTCTCTGAAGCAATCCCTGTGTGTGCTGGGTTGGGAGGGGAAACAAGCACCCCCAGGCACAGATAAGGTCACCTGGCAGAACTGATGGGACAAGTGGAGACTGTAGCCCTGGAGATAAGGAGTGAGTTCAAGGAGAGTAGGAATGGCTGGGATGAATGTTCCACCCAATACGCCATTCTTCCAAAAGTCCTGTAGCATGGTTCACATTCACCTACAGGCCCTGAGGGTCTGCCAAGGTCCTAGCACAGCCAAATGACCCAGGCCCACCCACCAGACATGCCTCTTGGTCTTTACATACTGCTCTCAGGAGGCCACCCACAGGAATAGCATTTGTTCTTTTTCTTCCACAATCCCTGCCTTGGGCCTATGGCTTTCAATATCTACCTCCTACCCATTTTGCTGGAGGTTTTGGGAATCTTTCCTCTCACTCATGTCCACCACAGACCCACATGTCTGTCATCCACTTACTGTTCTTATAATGGGCCGTTTTCAGCTATTCAGGTCCACGCTGGACAGGTTTTAGAGCCTTCTGAGTATAAGCACCCACTATGGTCCTGGTCTCTTTGTGCCTCAGCCACACTGTGCCTGTTTGCCTCCCTGTCCTAGGCTTCTTGGAACTGTCCATTGCTTTCATGCCCTGGGTCATCTCAGCTTGCCCTGGATCCAATACTCTCACACAGACATACATGTAGGGAAGGCTCCCAGGAAGTCCTTCTATCCTGTCATTCTAGGTATAGTGGGCCAACTGATGGTCCACAAAGCCAGCAGTCTGGATGTCGGGATCCCAAGAGTTCCATTGGGACCACACTCTTTCATCTTGCTGACAGTATAAGGGCTGCCAGGGCTTTGCTATGAGGCTGCCTTTCCTGGCCCACCCACTTCCAGAGCCATTAGTAGGTGGGCCTTCTTTCCACTGCCCACCATGTCTGCAAGGAGCTCCAGCTGCCTTTGAGTCTCCACGTGGGATCTACAGACACCTCAAATGCATGCTGAAAATAGCTTCTCGCTTCCTAAACCTGCACTGCTTCCTCCTCTCAGTGAGAGGCTGGAACCTGTGTCTGCCTATAGTAGACCCTCAGCCTTTCCCGATACAAACTCTTCCTCCCTTGTGCCCATTTGCTGATGTCCCTGCCCCCAATAGTGGCCACACGGATGCTTCCGCATAGTGGGGTTGGTATCTTTAAACCCAAACCCAGGTGAGCAGGGGAGGGAGGGACAGCCGTGACACTCCTCAGATCCTCTTCTGATCTTCCTTGGAACCCCAAGGGCTAACTGGTCTACAGTTTGGCCAATCCCAGCAGGCAAAGCTTAAGCTGCTAGCATGACTGAGACACCTAGCAGCTATCACTCATCTGCTCATGTGCAGCCACTGGCATCATCATGACGGATGGATGCTATTGATCCTGGTACAGAAAGTATGGCTGTTCCAGGCCATGGAGGAGTAGTGCTTCCAGACCACCAGGGATTGTAACAGGCTCTGGTGGGATTGGGTCAGCCTAGGCCCCCACATCCTTCCTCTAGACTGTCCCCAACATATACTTCCAGGAAAGGATACACAAAGAACCTATCAAGGAAGCAAGAAGGACCCTAGGTAGCCTACAAGTAGGCCAAGGTGAGGCTCCAGCCAACCTGAGGCCTCAGGAATCCAGGGGTTAGAGGTTATGACCTGTGCACTTACAGTTAACTTGGGTATCTACAATTCCTCCCCTGGCCTGACTCCTAACCCCACACCGAGCCCCTGAAGACAGGGGCTTAGGTCTTCTGAAAGAAAGCAGGATGTGCTGTGTACAAATGAATGTCTGATATGTACATACATGTGTCCTACCTCCATGACACATGCTGCCTTGTGTCCACTTGAGGTCAATGTGTGTCCGGTATACACGTTGTCCGCATGCACAGGACAGGCGTGTATACTATGGACATGGGTCCCACAAGCCCCACACCCATGCACTGTGCACACTTTGGGTATGAGCATGGTGCGTCACACATAGATGCACATTCACTCAGCTTTGAACCAGCCACCCCACTCTGTGTCATGTGCATGGATCTGTGTGTACACACAAATGTTGCCTGCTGATGTGCCTTGTTTAGAACATTAGTTTACATACATGTTCTCTGTCTATAATTCTACAAATAGCCATGTATAAGGCAGACACGTGTACAGTTATTCTGCAAAGTATGTACACATAGGCAAACTGTCGACACCACATGTGTACATGGTATGTGCACAGATACCCCATTTGCAAACTAATCTGTAGTCACTTCACCCACACTGAGATGTTCTGACATTTTCCCTGAGCACACTGAACTGTATATTGTTTTATATACATGTACTTTGCATACACATATATGTAATCAATATACAAAAATGCTTTGTACAACAAATTTACATACCCTGTATGTAGAGTTGTGTACAAAACACATACATGTAGAGAGACACACGCAGAAACACTGTCCACAGGAGGATGTGGCTCTCCACATTTTTGCGCACACAGGCCTTTCTTCAGGCTCTACTCTACAGGTGTCTGTTTACATGAGTCCACAAGTACTCTGGATGCTACATGAGATGCACATATATAACCTGTATAAATGGACTCTAAGAACACACCCTCTGCTCAGGTAAACCATTCAGTGTGCTGTCATGGACAGCGCTGAACCAACCATGTTATAACAGCCCCCATATGTAGTATCCATTCCCAGTGTTCACGGGCCCAATGACTGGGCCCAGGACGTGGATTCTGTCTTGGGAAGACTTCAGAACACACCTACAGACATGGTCTGGGAACAGCAGAGCTGATCTCATATCTTTTCTGAGCCCTCTAATGTACCAGAGGTACAGATGGTGTGCACCAAGATGGAGCACAGGGCTCTCTGGGAATGTGTGGCCACACAGCAACTTTCCCTACCATGTCCAACGCATGTGCGGGCATGTGCATCCCCTTTCTATTTGCTGTAATGCCCATGATTTGCAACACACTTGACTGTACCCATAGCCACATGTGCACTTAGGAGACAGACATGCAGCTGTCGTGACCTGCTGTATGTGTGCAGACCTCTGGAGCAGAAGCATAGGGTGGGGTAGGGAACTGAGGGTCTGTGATTCTAGCTCAACTCTTCCCTAGTTGTGTAACCTTGAGCAAGTCTACCCTCTAAAATCTCCATCCACTTCCTCCTAGTCTGCCCAGTAGGGACAACGGTTATCGCATGAGGGCATCTCTGGAATGAGTGCATGCGGATGTGCGAGTGCGCTGTGTACGCACATGTATATGCACAGACAGTACACACATGCGCGGCTCATGAGAAGATGTTTATTTCATACATGGACATACAAACATGCAAGGCCAGAAGACTTCATTACCACACATGCACAGAAGGGGGGGTCCCTGAGGGTGTGGTGGGTCTCATTGTGACCTTGAACAAACCTCAGCCTACTTCAGCTCTTCCTCTGCACAATGATCAGTTGTGGCAGGTGTTCCTCAAGGTAGGCCCTTTCTATCTTGATCTGCACTTGCCTGCCTTGGACACAGTAGACCCAGGAGGAAGACTTGGGCCATAGGCAAGACTACTGTCCCAGGCTTAACCAGCTTCCTTGCTTCCACTGTGGGCACTACTCAGGGCTGCTGCTCCCAGGCCTCCAGGCCCTGAACCAGGAGGCTCCATGGCCCATAATGCCACCACCAGGCAGCCGTTTCTCTAAGGGAACTGGAGGAAGGGGTTCCTAACAGACTCAGTCATGCTTCCTTTCCCAGGGAGGCAGCTGGCTGATCTGAGGTTCCCGTTGGCAACCCCTCCCCCAGCACCTGGCGGGCAGAAGCGGGCCCCACCATTCAGCTAGGCTCTGCGGCCCAGCCTGCTCCGGGCTCACCGGCAGAGTAGGGCCCGCTGCACAAGTGTGATCGCGTGTGTAGTGCCTAGAGCCGGGGCGCACTCACCGGCCACAGTTGCAGTGGCAGACGCGGTCCTCGCCCCGCAGGTGCGGGAGGATGTAGTTATGGAATCGGTCCAGCAGCGCGTTCATGTCCATCAAGCACGCGATGGCCTGGAAGAGCCCATGACCGGTCAGGGCGAGGAGTGGGCCGGGCCGAAGGGGGTGCCGAGTTGGGAGCGTTGGGCTGCCAGGGTGGGTGGGTGGGTGGGTGGGGAAGCGCAGGGCAGCCGGGGCGAGGGCAGCGCAAGGTAGCAGCGAGGGTAGCGCAGGGCAAGCCGCGGAGGGCAGCGCAGGCCGCGCGGGCCGGTAAACAAGGAAGCGAGGTGGGGTGGGCGCGCGCGCGGGCGGGAGAAGCAGGGGACGCGCGCGGGAAGCCCCTCCGCTCACCATCACGATCGACGCCCCCAGAATCATGAAGATCATGGTGTTCGCACTCATGGACATCGGGCGGGGCCGGGCCGGGCCGGAGCGCCTCCCCCCGGCCCCGGTGCCCCTCCCGGCCCCGGCCCGATGCTGAGCCCGCGCCGCCTCCGCAGAGGTCAGCGCTCGTGCGCCGGGCCGCCGCGGGCCCCGGGGGCAGGCGCGGTCACAGGCAGCAGAGATGTGGGGGCTGCTGTGGGGTCGCTCGCCCGCCGCCCGCCGCTGGCCGCGCTCCGCTCCGCCCTCCGGTGCTCCCAGTGCCCGGCTCCCTGCGGTCGGCTCGGCGGCCCCCTCCCTCCTCCCCCTTCCCTCCTCCAGGCTTCTCCCTCCCTCCTTTTCTTCCTCACTATCTCCTCCCTCCTCCTTCTGCCTCCGCCTTTGGGGAGGGACTTCGCCGCCCCGCGCCAGCATCCAGGATCGAGGTTCTCCACTCCTATCCCTGGGACGCAGACCGAGACCCCTCCCCTCCGGTCTCGGCTCCACATTCTGGCCCATCTCATCCGTTTTGGCTATGATCTCCTTGCCTAGTACCACGCTGGACTCTTTCTAGCCTGGATCGGGTGGTCGTTTCTGCTCTACTTCTCCGAGTAAGGCCCCTCCTCCTGAGTCCCCTGGTTCCAGAGAGGGGCAGGAAGGTCAGCACCCAGCCTCCTCCATCAAGAAAATGCCATCGGGGGAGGGGCCTGCAAGGTCAGAGAGCCAGAGACTATGACTGCATGACCAGAGGTAGGAGGGCAAGAGAGAGAGTGAGCCAAACAAGGGTGCCACAGAGCGTCGTGGCAGTGGTGGGAAAGGCTAGCAGGCTTCTGGGAGGGAAGGGGTGCTGGACAGTAGCCTGAACCTAGCAACTCAGTGTCTATGGTCTTGTGGCCGCCTCTGACACTGGGAACCAAGTGGGGTTCCAGGCCCTTGCTTGCCCTGTCCACAGTAAGAACCAACCCTGCCCTGAGTGACAAGAGCAGTGAGAGGACGGCTGACCTCCGGCCCCAAGTCCAGACCCCACTGTGCACTGTGCACTGTGTCCAAAGGTTCCAACTGGAACCATCAGTTGTGTTAGATCACCTAGGCCTGGCTGTAGGACACTAGGATTCTGGCCCTATCTCTCAGAGGGTGGTCTCAGGTATGTCACAGGGCTGGACTTAAGGGCCCTGGGTAGCCTCTTCCCCTGCAGGGTTTCAGGCCAGAAATTCAGGCCAAATCAAAGACCTTCCTTCAGCAGCACCTATTTTGTGGTGATTCCAAGTCCCCCTGCCCCCATAAGGCGGCCTATTGTTTTATTTAGGTTTTTGTACAATCCAGCAGGGAAGAGAAAAGGGGTAGGCGGGCCAACAACAAACACATCTATAGGCTGTACAGTAAACCGTCTTTATTTCTTTTAGTTAAAAACAATGGATTTCAGTCTGGCATTTCTGTGTACTTCTCATTCCATATGTACAGTACATTGGTGATGGACACCTAGCATTATACACAAATATCAGAAGGGAAACACATTGAAAAAGTGGCTCCAAAGGTGACGACTGTGCAGGACAGGTCATGCACCAACCATGGGTGGCTCAGTAGAAGCAGACAGTGTGCAGAAAGGCCCGGCCACTCTTCTCCTCAAACTCCTGCAGCAGCTCATCGATCTCATTCTCCATGTCCTCAGTGTGCTGGATCTGGGGAAGCAAAGCCTTGAGTGACACCCAGGCACTATGACATGCCTTCCATACCCCTGCCCTGTGCTGCATCTTCCTGCAGTGGGCCAGCTTCAGGATCGTTTCCTCAGGGTTGTCCCAATGGGCCCTTCCTGGCAGTCCCTGCTATGGATGATGATGGGCTCCAGACCTACACAATGACCACATAGCATCCCATATTGGGAGGGGCAGAGCTAGCTTAAAAGGAAGGACTGGACCTCAAGCTGGAACTCAGGCTCTGCTCTCAGGCATCACAGGTACACGGAAGCCTCACCAACCAGTGCCACCTGAACCTTGCAATGAGTGAAGCGAGGCACACAAAGATACAGGCATTTTCCTAGAACTGTCCAGCAAGAGGCTGACATGCTTCGGGGGGGGGGGGGGGGCAGCCTGTGCACTGCAGCATGTTAACAGCACATCCAGCTTCGATCCCTCAGACACCAATGGCTTCTACTGGTTGTAAAAACCTATAAGGTGGCCAGACATTGCCAGCAGTTCTTTGAACATTTAAGTGAGGGGGCTAGCTGCTGACCACATAGCCCTGTCTCCAGATCATCAGCCAAACCACAAGCTCAGCAGTAACCCTGAAAGTAGAAAGTGCGCTGAGTTGAGCAGGAATATGGATCCCCCACGTCAGCCTCTACCTGGTAAGCCAAGAGAACATCAATTCTGTCACAGCCAGCTAACCTAAACAAAATTCTCAAGGGCAAAAGGCAGAACAGAACAAGGCACATGGCTCTTCCCACAAAGTACTCTATTCAGTTCTTCCAGAAGAGAGGCCTATGATCTGGGAGATGTCACACATCACTTCTACCATGAATAGAAGCACTGGGGTAGGTTCTCAAGCCAAAGCCATTGGATAACTTTCTAGAGTGTGCACTTCTTGGTCTTTATTTGAAATTTAGTATTTAACCAGGATGTAAAAATAAGTTGCTAGTGATAAGAAGCTCTCCTCTTGCCCCAAGAGGAAGTGAATCGCAGCTACTTCCTCTGGTAAGGACTGCCTGAACCCAGGTGCTCAGACTCACACACTGGCAGAGCTCGCAGATAAGGAATGCCCCCAGGGTGGCCTCTTCATGGTTGTCCTGAATGTCCACATTGACCACATGCACTGGCTGGCAGGTCTCCTGTTCTCTGGAATTCAGATCTGATTGGAAAAAGAGGCACAAGTATTACTAGACACCAGGTAACAGAGTGCAAGTCCAGCTCTCACCACACCTGCCCCCGAACTCTGTGGAGTAGAACTCAAGGACTGAGCATCCAAGTCCAAGGAACTAACACGAGGAACGGCCCTACAACACAGGCTAAGTGAAGAAACCTAGGTAAACAGTATACTCAAGGCCATACTATGCCAGCCCGTGCTGTAGTCAACACAGCACTTTCTATAAGATGCTGGCCATTTCTATAAAATGAAAAGCAAACACTGAAGGCCACAAGGCTTACAGAGACATACAGGTAGTTTTGCTGGACATCAGTCCTTGGCTTACTCCTCACAGGCCATCCTCCAGATGTCCACACAGGTTAAAGGATGAGAGGGGATGTCCTGTGTCTCTTTCACTGTTGCCCAGGGCCTGATGCCTAACCTGCCTTCCCTCATCTCCGACCCCATAAATCTTCCAGCCTAGTGTTGGTGGCACAGCCTGAATGGTAGACCAGGCCCTGTGAACTCACCTTCTACAACCTGGTCATAGACTCGCTCTTCACAAGTGAGGATCAGGTCAAACAGGTCCTTGCAGTTCTGGAACCTTTCTGGCCGGGGCTTGATCCTTTTATTTCTGTCCAACATATGTAAAATTCCATTCTGTGTATAGCTGAACACCAGAGTCAAGGAGCTTTGGATAAATAATTGTTCACTAACCTAGTCCTGCCTGTAAATAAATGGCCTCCCTGCCTATCAGGGTTCCAAGTTGGTCCTTGTCAACAGGGGCATCACAGCTCTAGGCCTTAGCATAGAATTGGTCACCACTGCCCCACAATAGGAAGGTGCTGACTTCTTGGGAGTGTCATGATTTCTATGATACCCAAACCTGCCAAGTGGCTCCAGATAGCCTTGGCCATTCTGTTTTTGTTTTTATGTTTTTTGAGACAGGGTTTCTCTGTGTAGCTTTGCGCCTTTCCTGGAACTCACTCTGTAGACCAGGCTGGCCTCGAACTCACAGTGATCCTCCTGCCTCTGCCTCCCGAGTGCTGGGATTAAAGACATGCGCCACCACCGCCCGGCATCTTGGCCATTCTGACTGGACAGAAAGCAGCAGCATAGCACTGGCCTCCTCCTCTCGGACAGTGACCTTTTCCTCTATCATACTGACCACAGCTCTGACCTGTGCTTTCAGCACTAGTTAAGGTATCTTTTATCTGTGCCTGTTTGTTTTACTGTCTCATCCAAGCACAGGGTAAAGCATTTGTTTCCTCTCAAACTGGAGTCTTACTGCAAAGACAATGCTGCCAGGAAACCAAGCCTCAATCCAGCTAAGCTACAGCAGGAAGAAAATCTGGAAAAATCCACTGAATCTCCTCCCACGCCCCCGCCCCTCCTCACACACACACAAGACAGGGTTTCTCTGTGTAGTCCTGGCACTTGCTCTTAGACCAGGCTGGCTTCGAACTCAGAGATCCACCAGTCACAGATCTCCTGAGTGCTAGGATTAAAGGCATGTACCACCACACCCGTATTCCACGAAATCTCTCAAACCTCAGCAACAGAAAGGACTGGGAACACCCTACTGATGGTCTAAAAGGGACAAGCTCTGGTTCAACTAAAAGCAGGGAGACTGCCAGCTGAGCCCAAAGGGATAATCCAGAGGATACCTCAATGTTCAGGCCCATCAGCCCTGACAAAAGACAGGAGAACCACTGCCTTTGGGGCCTTCAAGATTGTGCCACCCTATCCTCAGATAGTTCCTGGAGCACCCATAGTCTGAGGTTTCCTCTGAGCTGCTCTGGACACTTAGAAACAAGCACCTGTTTTAGGGGAAACAGAAAGGCTGTTCAGATTCAGTTCTCTACTATGATGTGGAGCCTGGGGACTGACTTCAGGCTTGAGCACAGGTACCCCTACCTGCTGAGACATCTTACCAATGTGTCAACTTATTTAAATAAGTTCATTGCTGTGGGATGTTCTGTATGTCAAATGTGTTGCTGATTAGTCAATAATTAAAACACTGATTGGCCATTGGCTAGGCAGGAAGTGTAGGCGGGACAAGGAGGAGAATAAAGCTGGGAAGTGGAAGGCTGAGTCAGAGAGACACTGCCAGCTGCCATGATGAGAAACAGCATGTGAAGATGCTGGTAAGCCACGAGCCATGTGGCAAGGTATAGATTTATAAAAATGGATTAATTTAAGCTGAAAGAACAGTTAGCAAGAAGCCTGCCATGGCCATACAGTTTGAAACCAATACAAGTCTCTGTGTTTACTTGGTCTGGTCTGACGGCTGTGGGACTGGCAGGTGAGAGAGATTTGCCCTGACTGTGGGCCAGGCAGGAAAACTCTAGCAACAAATGGCGTCCAACGTGGTGGCAAGAGTTTCCACCTAAAAACTGAGAAAAAAGATTCTAAAACGGAGCTAAAAACAGTTCCTAATTGTCTCTCTCAAATGAGCGGCAGCTGCTGGTTTGAGTTACTGGTGGGTTCCTAGCGTGCGTGCTCGACCTGCCTGTGGCGGGAATGAGGCCTTTGCAAGTGGCACTTTGAGCTGCATGGTGGATTTAGCCTTTGCTGGTGCAGAGCAAAAGGGGAGGTTTCTGGGCTACACGCTGCTTGGCTAAAAGCATAGACCCCCGATAGCTCCCAGAGCTGGCGGTAAACCATGGCCATGTTGGTAAGCTGAAGTGGGTGGATCCAGCAGCCACAGCTGCTGCAGTTTAAGGCAATAGATTCACAATAAGACAGATTCAGATGTAATAGTTTACAATGTGTGTAAAAGATACGTAGGCTTGAAAGAGACAAAAAAGATGATATATAGAGTTATAGAAACAAATACATAGTTTTAAAAAATAAAGTCTTTAAAGAGACAGTAAAGGTAGTATAAAAAATAAGCCACGTAAAAATGGATATTACACAGAGAATCTGCATTGTGTTGTCTTTGGGACTTTTAACTGCAGAAAAACATTTGATTGTAAAAGCTGTTGAGTTATGCCAAAATGTATATTTTAAAGGTACCTTGACTTCAAAATTTGGATATAAGGATATGTTACTTTGGAAAGGAGACTCTGCTTTTGTTTCCACAGAAAGCCAGAGGCTATGGATTTGTTCAAGATTAAGATACATTAGGTTTGACCAGCCAAGACCCCCTGAAAGGTCTCCTATGACACCATGGCCCAGATGATCCAACATCCAGAATGGTTTCAAGGCAACTGGCTCAGACGATACAGCCTCATGGACTATTCCATAATCCTAAAATTTTCTTTGTTTCCCCATAAGATACAGCGTCCCCCTCCAGCAGGAAGTAGTAAGAGAAGCTACGTCCAAATTCCCAAATTATATGTAACTTTACTTTGTTAAGGTTAAAACCTTCCTTTTTGAAAAAAAAAAGGGGGAAGTGCTGTGGGATGTTCTGTATGTCAAATGTGTTGCTGATTAGTCAATAATTAAAACACTGATTGGCCATTGGCTAGGCAGGAAGTGTAGGCGGGACAAGGAGGAGAATAAAGCTGGGAAGTGGAAGGCTGAGTCAGAGAGACACTGCCAGCTGCCATGATGAGAAATAGCATGTGAAGATGCTGGTAAGCCACGAGCCATGTGGCAAGGTATAGATTTATAAAAATGGATTAATTTAAGCTGAAAGAACAGTTAGCAAGAAGCCTGCCATGGCCATACAGTTTGAAACCAATACAAGTCTCTGTGTTTACTTGGTCTGGTCTGACGGCTGTGGGACTGGCAGGTGAGAGAGATTTGCCCTGACTGTGGGCCAGGCAGGAAAACTCTAGCAACAGTTCATGGTGCTTTAAAAATGCCTCCTACATTCGGACAGTAAAGGCAGCTTTTTAGAACACATTTAAGTGGCCATCTAAACAGTTTAACTTGAAGACACCTGGCCAAGAGCTGCTAGGCAGTTCCATTTCCTGCATCATTAGCTGCTTCTGGGGCTAGGTCCTGAAGCATGGTACCCTTCCTGTTTCCCTGCTGGCCATAAGAAGAGCTGCATCCAGGCTTGTAGAGTCTTTCAAAGGCCCTGGGGGAAAGAATGTACCCAGTGGCTGGTACAACTTCTGGGACAGAGGACAAGGAGGAGTAGACCTTTTGGGCAGGAATCAGTCAGGATCCAGGTACTTAAATTTAGCACTGACCCCAAGGAAGAGCTGGAGAAAGTCACATGGAGAGTGCTGGGGTAGTGGGAAACACCACTTTGCATTCTCCACTACCAGAGTCCAGCCCAAAAATACTCCAAGAACTGTGGTCACAGGATGGTCCTACATGGAAAGGTCTTGTTACTTTCTCCAACACATACATGCATATCTTGCTTGGATAGACTACTTTTAAGTGAAGACCTAGCTATTTAATGAAGGCTGGGAAACATTAATCATGCCAGAACCTCACCTGAACTTGACAATTGGGGGCGGGAGGGGGGGGGTGGGGGGGGGGTCCGGGGCGGCACGTTGAAACAGGGTTTCTCTGTGTAGCTCTGGCTGGCCTGGAACTTGTTCTGTAGACCAGGCTGGCCTCAAACTCAAAGATGTGCCTGCCTCTGCCTCCTGATTGCTGAGATCAAAGGTATGTACCACTGCCACCACCACACAGCAAATTTGATACTTCCAACAAACTCTGAAAACCAGCCAAAAGCAAGCTCAGAGGCTAGGCTAGGACATAGGGGTGGACACAGTAGACAGGCCCTCTTTCCCAGAATGCCTTCTCCTTGTTGCCATTTTTGACAACCTCACTGAACGGCCAGTTAGCTGGAAAACTTCCAAGAGCCCCAAGCTTAAGCACGGCTTGGGCTGATGCTCACTTGGCCAAGCCTGGGGCTGCCAGCAAAGCCTCAGAGGAGCCAGGGGTACAAGTGTCAAGCTGATTATGCCCTCTGGTTCTAATTAACCAGTCCCTGGAGTGAGATTCCTGAAAACTGAGGGCTGTGCTAAGGCCAAGTGTGGATGGATTTAATCTACTTGCAGTGAGCCAACAGTGACCAAGTGCTGGCTTTCTCGAGGGAAGACCCACTCCCACCAGACTCTGGAGTCCCATATCTGTCCCTGCTGGCTTTCTGGGGACAGGGTTCACACTCAGGGCCCCAGAACCTGGGATGTTGTCTCACAACAGAAGTACAATTCAGTATCATTAAAAAAACTTCTAGGGGCTGGGGATTTAGCTCAGTGGTACAGTGCTTGCCTAGCAAGCACAAGGCCCTGGATTCGGTCCTCAGTTCCAGAAAAGAAAAGAAAAAAAAACAAACCTAGGTTTACTATCAGACAAACAACTCAAGCTATTCTCCTTGTAGAATATACAATTTCTTAATACCAAGTGATATGACTGGCTGGATACAGGAGAAGAGGAACATTGGAGCTGAGATTCCTGGTGGACATCTGTAATCCTAGCACTCAAGAGATAAAGGAAGGAGGATTAGGTCAACTCGAGCTACACAAGTCTAAGGGAAACCTAGGTTACATGAGACCTTGTCTCAAAAAAGAAGAGGTTAGGGAGATGGCATAGCAATTAAGAGTGCTTCCTGCCTCCCAGGACTCCAGTTGAGTTCCCAGCACCTACATCAGACAGTTTTCAACCTCCTTTAACACCAGCTTCAGGGAGCTGATGCCTCCCCCAACTTTTTTTTTTCCAGGCAGCCTTGTCTGTCCTGGAACTCCCTCTGTAGACCAGGCA